GTGACCTATTCCACTCTACACACAAAGGATCACAAAGTTTGACCCTCCCTTGTGCTACTAATGTCTTTCTTTTCGGTGTTTGATTCCAAAGGGGGAGAATTTATAGGACCAAAAGCAAGTATTAATTTGTAGGACCAAAAGCTAGATCATAATAATTTACAAGTGGTAATGATCTACAAGTGGTGTCAACAAGTGATAATGGTCCAAGAAAGGGAGGATAGTGGATTATGGATTGCCTATGTAATAGGAAGAATTTGTAGGAAGCAAGGCTTAAATCCATAATACCACATGGGGATTTTTGCAAGGGCAAGATAAGTGTTCAAGTGGTATCTTCTAGTCTTACAAGTAGTATCTTTTAGCATCATATAACCTTGCCCCTTGCATTGCATCCTAGCAAGTAGATAGTTTTTAAATTCCAAATTTTTATTATTTGCTTGCTTTGGTCATGTTGTCATCAATCACAAAAAGGGAGAGATTGTAAGGAAAATGGACTCTAGGCCCATTTACTTTGGATTTTGGTGTTTGATGACTAACATAACCAAATTAGACTAATGAATTTACAAGTGATTGTTTTGTAGTTCAATAGGATGCAAGACGTGACTTGGACGAAGGCGACGTGATGATCCGATGATCAACACCATAAGTAAGACCCTAGGAGCACAAGAGAAGACCCAAGATATCAAGCAAAGTCTAATCACGAAGACAGGAACCAAGCCGTACGCAAGATCGTAAAGAAACGAGCTCACAGAGGTGACCGGACGCTGGACCGGACGCTGGAGGAAAGCAACCGGATGCTCCGATCAGGAGGCTCGGCAACAGGCGTCAGCAGCAGCGACCGGATGCTGGACCGGACGCTGGCGGCAAATCGACCGGACGCAGGACAATAGAGTCTGGTCGAGTACAGAGAGGTTCCAGAACGGCGACAGTGCGACCGAACGCGTCTGGTGGCATGTGATCGGACGCTGGCAGCGTCCGATCAGTTGATCGCGGCTCCAACAGTCTGGACGACCAGACGCGTCCGGTCAGGACGTGATCAGCGTCCGGTCAGTACCAGAAAAGCGGGATTTCGTCTCCAACGGCTACTTTCTCAGTGGGGCTTATAAATAGACCCCCAATCGGCCATTTGAGTGGTGTGGAGCTGAGGAAACATATCAAGGGTGTTGATACACCATTTTAGTGATCTCCACTTGCATAGAGCTTAGTGATTCATTAGGTGATTAGCGTAGGTGCTTTTGCGAAGTGCTTAGGTTGATTAGACCACCGCTTATGCGCTTCCTCTAGGTTTAGGCCTAGTGTTTAGTGAGGTTTGCATACCTTTTACCACTCGGTGCTTGCGCGCACCATTGTTGTACATCGGAGGGGTTATAGTCTTGCGAGATCACACCAACCGCGTTTGTGGTATGTCCACCACCGTGTACCGGAGGGAACAAGACCCGCGGCGTTTCAGCCGGAAGCTTGGTAGTAAAGACAGCGGGGAGCATCCGGGAGAGGCTTGCCGGAAGGCACGTCGGAGACCCACTTACGCGTGGGGAAGGCCTGAGGCTATCCACGGAGTTATCTGACTAGGAGCTTGGCCCTTGCGAGGGATTCCTTGCGAGGGGCTCCAACGAGGACTAGGGGGAAGCTTGCGTGCTTCTCGATACCTCGGTAAAAATACCGGAGTCATCGACGGGAGTTTGCATATCTCTACCTTGCTATTTAGCTTCCGCATTTACATTGATTGTATTACTCCTTTTGCGGTAGAGATAGCAACACACTAGCAAAACCATGGTTGCACATTTAGATAATTTATCTTTTGCATAGGTTTTGTTAAGGTTAGAAAAAGAGGCCATAGTTTAGAGCTAGAATTTTAAGTTGCCTAATTCACCCCCCCTCTTAGGCGTCATGGTCCCCTACACAAACTCCATTCTCTTCTTCCCGATAGTCTTTATTGGTCTTATACCTACTCGCACGTCGAACCACAATTCGGACAAGTCTCCAAGCCTTTGTAATCGTCACCTCGATATAGGATACAATGATTCCTACACGCATTGATCTTTTCGACACCCATAGTCAGTGGACTGATTAGCTTTTTTGCATAGTATGTGTTAGCAGGTATTTTGTTCCCCTTTGGAAGGAGTTTTGCAAGAACACGCAAAAACTCATTGAAGCTAGTGTCAGACCAGCCATACCGAGACTTTAGCATAAAAAACTAAAGGATAGCTCTCAGTGTGGTGAATTCATCGGTACAACCCTTAAACTCTTCGTACAAATGCTCTGTTGTTGCCTTCTTCAAGGCCTCCATTCCTTTGATAAGGAACATAGAAGGATCGGAATAACGGTGCAACAAGGTCTCGAAAAACTCTGCTTGTTCACTTTCATCAACGACTTGAACTTTGTCGACGTCTTCACACGCATTTTGGACGCCGACATCATCATCATCACTAAGATCCGCCATAACAGGATCAATCGGGGGCCTATGGTGTCATGTCCCATCATTCATATTCAGTCCATCAGCATGAACTGGGTTGGCTTCTGCAGAAGGCACGGAACTACCCTCTCCATGTTTCACCCAAATCAAGTAATCCTTCATAAAACCGCGGCGAACCAAATGAGAATTGTTTTCTTCTGTATCCTCAAATACAGCAACATTTTTGCATTTGATGCAAGGACAGCATATGTACTTCATCTTCAGTCTGCATGCATGCCTCCCAGCGGCATCAATAAATTGACGAACCTCCAAATGGTATGATGGGTGTAATCTTGATAAGCTGTACATTCATAACGATCTTTCCATCTTCAGCTGTACAAAAATTATAATGGTAATGTCTAATTAATTGGGTATATTTAAAATTATTTGATAAAAATTAAAATTATTGTAGTTATTTGAATAAACTAAAAATTATTGTAATTTCAAAACATCTAGTTTGGTGAATAAACTAGATTGTTTAAAATCTTTTTAAACAATATTTCTCTCAAAACACAAGCATGAAACACACTCTCTCTATTTTTTCATAACATATTTTAACTCCCACATTATTTATAACAACCATTAAAGCAAATGACAATACCAATTCTCTCTCTATAATACTACCATTTCTCTCCCTCCCCCCATGAAACCCTAGGTCTAGTTTTGAATCAAATTTATAATGGAGAATTGAGAGGTGCACCACTATAATCCAAACCTTTTAAAATACCATGTATTGAAATCTTAAATAAAAATCTACTACCACTCTCTCTATCTCTCTCTCAAAACACAAGCATGAAACACTCTCTCTCTAGCTAGATCTAGTTTTAGCTCAAAGTAAGAAGCACTAATACAAAAAGAGCTATGAGAGGCATTAATTAACATTCTTAAGCCACCTCCTACGAAGAAATGAAGAGCAAAACACCTCTCTCTCTCTCTCTCTCAAAACATAAGCACGAAACTCTCTCTCTCGCTAAATCTAGTTTAAGCTCAAAGTGAGAAACACTAATGCAAAAAGAGCTACAAGAGGCATTAACTAACCTTCTTAAGTCACCTCCTCCAAAGAAACGAAGAGCAAAACCTCCCCCTTATATTTTGCGATTTTTGGACCTCCAAGTTCGCCACCAATAGAAGGTGCTGGTCGGGGAGGAAGGATTATTTATAGCAGATGTATTAGTGGCGGTTTACATAAAAAAACGCCAATGAAAATGAGTATCACAGGCGGTTCACATAGTTCAACCGCCAGTGTAAACACTGACCGTTTATGTAAGCAAGCCGCCAGTGTAAATAGGCCGTTAACACTGTCGATTTTCTTACACGAACCACCAGTGTAAAGGCTTTTACACAGGCGGTCCTTGAGGCTGGGCCACATATTTCTCTCTACTGGCGCCACCTCTTTCCCAACCGTCAGTGAAAAAAAAGGTGGCGCAAGAGAAATCACCAGCGTACTAGTGCGACAGAGTCTCGCAGTAGTAATAAAGGTGACGTAGTCTATGGCCATTCCTCCCATTGTGGCGTCGTCCTCGGCTGCTTGCCTTGCCCACCATCGGCATGGCCGCGTCGTGGTCGCGCGCCTAGTCGCCTCCAGCTCGCGGCGGCGGCTGACTAATCCTACTATTCCTCATCGGGTACGTCTGAATGGTTTGCGTTTGAGGTCTTGTTTAAATCCAGGGTGTAAAGTTTTAGATGTCACGTGGAGGTGTCACATAGGGTATTCGAATACTAATAAAAAAAGAAATTACAGAATCTGTCAGTAATCCGCGAGACAAATTTATTAAGCCTAATTAATCCGGCATTAGCACATGTGTTACTGTAGCACCACATTGTCAAATTATGGGCTAATTAGGTTTAAAAGATTCGTCTTGCAAATTAGTCGTAAACTGTGCAAATAGTTATTTTTTAGTCTATATTTAATACTCTATACATGTGACAAACATTCGATAGGACAGTGAGTAAACTTTACCGGTAGGAAACTAAACCAGGCTGTCTGGTTGCTTCTCCCGTTCCGTGCTGCCCAAGCCACTGGGTCCGGGGCTCCGGGCTACTAGCTAGTGGACTTGGATCGGACGCGTCGACGATGTGAGGTCTGAGCGGTGCAGAGGGAGAGGAGAGAGCATCGGGCGCTGGCGTCACGGCTGTCGTTGCGCATCCATTCCTGCCACAGTGCCACCGCCGAAGCTCCACCTGTCACCTGTGTCTCTGCTCACGTGGGACGAGATGAATCGGCAACGGGCAGACCGCAGACGAGAGCCGACGCCACTCATCAGAACCGTGTCCCCCATGGGCCATGGCACAAGAAGTGGCGCGGCAGGCTACGGCACGTGTCGCCGGCTCGCCGCACATGTGGCGGTGGCGCCTGATCTGGGCATGCGCAGCTTCCGTTTCGTTTCCATTCATTCAATTCAACGATGATGATGACGACGTGGGGGGTGAGAAGGCTTGCAGTGCGCTGGATTGCTTCGTCCATAAGTAGATGCCTGCCCCTGCCCACGGAAGAGGAGGAAGGAAGCAAAGGAGCAGACGCCCACGGACGACGGACCAAGTAGAAGTAGGCATGGCGGAGGCGGAGGCCCATAGCATCGTCATCGTCGGCGGCGGCATCTGCGGCCTAGCCACCGCTCTTGCACTTCACCGGTGAGTTCATTTGCTCCTCCTGCTCGTTCGTTAGTTAAATTAATTACTACTAAGTAGCATCGTTGCTGATAAACGACACTGCGATTATTTACCAGCGAGTAGGGGTAGTTCTAGTGATTGTCTTTTTTGTTGTTGACGCTTCTGGATGCCTCCACTACCTGCCTACACGAAGACGTTTAGTATTTCACTGAAAATACTATCATTTCAGAGTCGTCGGTATTGTATATCAGTGGTCAAATGAAATCGTGGCGTCCTTGTATCAAAGTTTCGAGTTCTGAAGGTACGGGCGATGTTGAGTGACTGCTGATGACTTGCACGCACCCAGGAAAGGGATTGCTAGTCTTGTGTTGGAGAAGTCTAGGAGTTTGCGAGCAGATGGCGCGGGCATCGGCGTCCACGCCAACGGATGGCGAGTCCTGGAGCAGCTTGGCGTCGCTGCAGAGCTCAGGGAGACTGCCCATCTTATCACCGTGTATATATCCTTGCTTCATTTACTACATACCAGACTTCAAAAATTAGGAATCTGTATCGCTTGATTTGACCACCGACAATGCACTCAGAAATTAAATGGGCAACAATTTCAGGTATCATGACGTGTGGCAGCAGGGAGACAGAACCCGCCGAGAAAAGGTTCCAGTAAGGTTAGTACTCAAGGAGTTGCTGCCTTCCTGTCCTGATACGCTTAACCAAGCAGCAATGCATAAGCATGCATGCAATCTTATTGATTTCTTTCTTGCTACTCCAGGACGGAGCTCCGATGCTTAAACAGAAAGGACCTGATCGAGGCACTGGCCAAGGACATACCTGCAGGGATGATCCGCTTCGGCTGCCGCATTGCTGCCATCGATGCGGATCCCAGCAGCCATGGCGCCGTCCTTACAATGGCGGATGGTACTACCATGAAGGCCAAGGTAAACTTGCAGTTGCAGACAGACGTCCCAGTCCGACACATTAGTTGATGATCATCTCCAATATTATTCTCTGCCTGAAATTATTCTCTGCCAAATCAAAATTCAGGTCCTGATCGGGTGCGAGGGCACCTACTCCGTGGTGGCTAAGTATCTTGGACTGTCTCCGGTGAGAACCATCCCACGCGCAGTGCTCCGGGGGTTCACATGGTTTCCGCATGGGCATTCTTTCGAGAACGAGTTCCTGCGCCTACGAGCCGGAGATTTCTTCATCGGGCGATTAACAATCACCGACAACCTGGTCCATTTCTTCATAACAATGCCCAAACCTCCGACAGGTATTCACCCTCACGGACAACCTGGTCCATTTCTTCATAACAACGAGTGCCTGCCTGATGATGTCATGAATGAGCCAGCAGATGTCAGCACCAAGGACTTGAAGAAAGTGAGGGATGTCGCGCTAAAGGAGATGCAGGACGTAGAATGCCCCGCCGAGATCATCGACATCGTCCGCGACTCGGACCCGGAGTCGCTCAACTTCGTCACGGAGTTCTGGTACCGTCCGCCGTGGGAGGTCATCTTCGGCAGCTTCCAGAAGGGCACCGTGACCGTGGCCGGCGACGCCATGCACGCCATGGGCCCATTCATCGGCCAGGGCGGCTCGGCGGGGCTGGAGGACGCCGTCGTGCTCGCGCGGTCGCTGGCGCGGGCCGTGGACGACGCTGACGGTGCTGGGAAGGACGCCCCGGCCTCGGCGCGCGAGAAGATGATCGGCAAGGCGATCGGGGAGTACATCAGGGAGAGGAGGCCGCGGGTGGCGTTGCTGTCCCTCGAGTCCTTCATCATGGGGGCGCTGCTGGTGCGCTCGCCGTCTCCGGTCACCAAGCTGGCCTGCGTCGCCGTGCTCATTCTCTTGGGGAGCAAGTCGCTTAGGCATGCTTACTATGACTGCGGTCGCCTCTAGCTAGCTACCACCTCCAGTATCTCAGTTTGTTTACCCAAAATATTCATAGCATAACATTTATATTACTTATGTAATTATGTAAGTTTGAGTACTACCAAGCGTGTGCATGTACGTTGCTATCTGCTAGCGCTATCACCATGTACCACCAGCAGGTAGAGCTATCTGCTGGGCGCCAATCCATGGACCGCATCCCCCATGGCCATGGTCTACCTCATCGCCCTCCACATGTGGTCATGTACTCTTAAATCGGGGCGTTGGCCATGGTCAACGCTGCCATAGCGACCTTTTGTTCCGAGCGACTGACACCTAGGTCCCATCCTACAGTCCTACCTACCCAAAAAAATGTCATGACCCTATACAACCAACAAACAGGAGGGTCCATCGCCCCTCCCCACAATCACCATACTGGCAGTCGCATGTATGTGATCGGCAAAAGACCAGCAAGCAAGAGCATAGCTTAAGAAAAGAAAGTGCTAACTTGTCACTGTGTCAACATACTCTGCTGCCTACCACTACAATGAATTGTCAGCCTAAAAGCACAGCATGAATAAAGAATGCTTGATCCGAGCAAGGCAAGCACAAGCATTAGCAGACGGGGAAAAAATCTAGCTAGCCAAAGCTCTTAAAGAGCTCTGACAATAATAGGCGAGCAGTAGCTAGAATCTTCAGTCTCAGTGAAGGTATAATCTTGCTACCATGCTTTTACATTCATGAATCCATCTTTTCTTTTGCCCATAACAGGATTAAGATTTACATTCTACAGTATATGCCATAACTGTAAAGAAATGAGCGAGTAGCAGATGCGAGAAAGGCGACATACAACACAGAAGCAGAGCTCAATCAGGTACCAGATGAGACAAGGCCACCGCCTGCCATGGATTTGGGAGCAGTGCTGCAAAAATATATTGGAAGGAAAATTTGAAACTTCAGAAACTGTAACAGGGCTGCTGCTACGTCAGATCAAAGGCGTCAGGTATAGGATTCTTCAGCAAAAGGATATGATACAAATCAGCTGCAGGCTTGACTCATCTGCGGTGGTGGTAGTGCCTGCTGTCATGCCTGTCTCTGTCTCTATCCCTGGAATGGCGTGACGACATCTCAGAGCTCGAGCTGTAGTGGCCCGAGTACCGCCTGCTGGGGTATGAGTGCGGGGTCCAGGAACCATCGTCTGCTGGCAGATTATCATAACGAGGTGGGCTTCTCCACCCCCTGTCTGAGTGTGACCTCCCTAAGCTTGGGCTCAAAGGCCCATAATCGTGGGAATGGTATCTCAATGAATAATGATCAGCACCAGGAGGTCCTCTATCACGGTAGTCCCTCGAATCCAATGAGTGGTAGCGGCCTGAGGACTGAGGCGGAGCGCTACCCCACAGCCACTGGTCACCATTCTCTGGGATGGGGGCGTTTATTCCAGGGAATTCCACTGTCATCCTTTTCTTAGGTGGGGATGCCTCGGCTTGCTCTGAAAGCTCTCCCTCCTCGTGCTCTAGTTTCACCTCACCATCTCCAAATATGGTGATACCCGAAGGTTTATCTTCATCGTCAACCACATCTAAAAAGCACAATCAGTGAGCAACAATATCATGATGAAAACATCTGCTATAAAACTTATGCGATGCCTAATGTAAACAAATATACACACTTTGAATTCACATGCCATCCTGATGGTGATGCTGTTCACTGCATGACTTCCATCTAGGAATGAAGCTAATTGGATTGCAGGTGCGTGTAAGATAAAACGATGTATATAATTGATTGGTCGAACAGGCCTAGTAAAAAAATGGTTTAAAGAACTAACCCAATGCAACTTTGTGGTTTTCCTTTTAACTAGAGTAGTCCAAACTATGAACATCAGAAAAAGAAAGTTTGCATACTCTGCAAATATTAAAATGTATACTGAAGTTGGGCTTACCTAGGTAGCCCGGAGGATACCCTAACTCACGCATTCTATGCAGCCAAGGAGGGGGATCATTTTCCTGCAAAAAATAGTTAATCTTACAATGTGATTCTACCATTCTGAATTCAAAATAAACTTTGTAGAGTTAAGTCAATTATTTGTTCAGCATGAGAGATCATTCGATCCCAAAAATAAAAATGAAAAACACATAGGACTAGTACTCCTGTAGCAAAATGAATGTCTGCTCAGAGGGCTACCAGATCAAGTGCGACAAAAAGTCTTAACTTTGCAGTGTTATTACCACTTTGTTGAGGCTTCTTGCATCATTTGCTAATAGGAAAGTGACTAGGAAAAGCTTATTGCAAATGTTATACCAGCAGGCCAACACAACAAATGCATTTAGTTGCATATAAACATGATCTGGATCTTTCAAGTATGGACATGGAAATCTATTAATCATGGTTGATGGTAAAGAAGACAAAGGGTATTTCACTCCACAAAATTACTTAACCTTGAACAACAGGAACTTCATGCAGCTATCCACACAATAAACACGACACTTGAATAGACAAAAGTTGCTATTTCAACACATATATGCTATTTCATTAAGTGTACAAACATGATGTGCAAAACTAACCGAACTCTCATGGGTCATGTATTGAGAGTAATAAACTAATGATTTTCATCTCATGAATGCTAAAATGTAGTAGTATTTCATTGCTAACAGGAATGCAAATAAATGTCATTTTTATCTCACTCTAAATGCATCAGAATACTTATTCGCACTGGTTGACAAGTCAAACATAACCATATTATCAGTGAAATCAGGATGTTCAAACTTAGACTGCAACTGATATAGTCATTACCCCGATCCCCAAGCACTGTCTAGTTTCAGGTCCCAGTACTCCAGCTTTCAGATCATCAAATTTGCCAGGCGTTTTCTGGTAGTATCGATTTTGCACACGGTTCACATTAGATTGGTTTCTTTTCAAATTATGCTGCTTTCGGGCATTGCTAATTGCGACATTGTCCCGAGGCTTTGGGCAATCCTTCAAAGCATGGCTATAAGAACCACAATTGAAGCAGCGTGAATCGTCCTTATCCGCCCTGCTGTCAGAGAAACAAGGTACATCAGTTGTTGGTCCAAGTGAAAATGTAATTATAACATTAACAATGAGAAATGAGAACGGTTGTCAAAAGCCAAAAATGGAAGTCTATCTTTGGAAGAATAATAACAAAATACCAGAACAAACAGACAGTGCCAGAACAAAAAAAACTAAGCAAACGAATTTTAAGTATTATAGCCAGACAATGGGAGAACAAGATACTGCCACATGAACTATTATCAGCTGTTAAAGGACCATTTCTGGCATAATTTTGTAATTTATATCTAGTAAACAATAACGGTGAGTTACAACTAATTAATAACAAGGCACCCAGACTTGCCACAAGATAAGCAAATGAGGGACAATTTATCCATTAGCCTATTGAATCTGAGTGCATATACATTAATACTGCCAAGATTTTTCCTCTAAATAATTGCAGGGATAAATTTGAGACAATAGCATAAGTGATTGACCTCTATAACTCTTGTGCTTATCTATCTAGGATGCTTATCTTAGGAGTAGTTGGTGCATATGTCAGCACCTTATCTTCTTATCTTGCTTTAGCATCTACTTAGAATATGCTGTAATCCTTTCTTAAGTTGCAAGTTTGCTACTCCTATATGTATCAAATCCTGCCATGGTTTGTGGCATGGCTAAGTAATAGAGAAAATCTGCCCCAAATACCTGTGCCTTTGGCTAACAATAAGCAGATATATTAAGATACACATATGAAAATGGTTGATTGATGAATATCGAGACAGTAAATATCTAAAAAATTGACAATGATTGAAGCCCCTAAATGGAATGCAGGAAAATCCCTAATTCATGTGGAAGTAGAACATTTTCATGCATCATTACATAAGATAACTGACAAGCTCCAAAGTTTTCTTTACACGTCAGGCAATATCAAAACGACTAAGGACAGTACAGATATACACAAAGCAGTTAATAATAAGAGTAAAATTCACCAGTGGACCCTAAACTTGCATGGCGGTGCTATCTGAGTCCCTAACTCTCAAATCTTGATTTATGGGTCCCTAAACTTGTATGACAATGTCATCTGGATCCCCAGCTCTCGAATTTTGATTTTTGAGTCCTAGAACTTGTATAGTTGTGTCATCTAGGTCCCTAAACTTGCATGTCAACACATAATTAGCATGCCACATTAGCGTCATATGTATGTTGATGTGCAAGTTCAGGGGCCTAGATAACACCGCCATATAAGTTTTAGGACTCAAATATCAATATTCGAGAGTTGGAGACCCAAATGACACTGTCATACAAGTTTAGGGACCCATAAATCAAAATGCAAGAGCTAGGGACCCAGATGATACCACCGTGCAAGTTTAGAGATCGCCCGTGAATTTTACTCTTAATATAATAACCTCTACCTTTCAGTGTTTGATGAATCACCCAGAGGAGTCGAGCCCAAGGTAAACTCCCGATCATACAGTGGAACAGTATCATCATCTACGGTATCACTTTCCCTTGCTTGGTTATCCACCCAAAATGACTTGTCAGGATAAGAAAACAAAACAAGGTGAATAACTATATTCCAGTTAAGTATCCCACGAAAAGCAGAAATGAATCATACAGCCAATTGTCTAAAGGTTACATCAAATGTTAGATACATATCAGTAACAAAGGACAGGAGACTATGCCCATGTTAGAATATATGGTACTAAAACAATGTGTTTCAAAGGAAAAATAATAAAAGCATATGGCTGCAAGTGGGAACAAACACTGGATTCAGATTCCAAAGTTTATTACTGTTGAATACGAACACAGTTGTAGCATATTTGCCATTCTGGGAAGGGATAAGATTGATTTAATTTCCAACATGTCCTCAAAGGATCAAAGTGTATCTAAAGGGGCTAATGTCACCAAATAAATAGTAAGAAGACGGATCAAGGACCAAAAACATGCAAGTCCCAACTGCAAACTTAAGGTTTATACATGGGAAAATTTTCAAATTAGCACAGTTAGATGCACTATCAGATGCCAATAAAGGGCATCCTCACCTTAGCAGGTAGCTAAGGCAAGAGTTAGCTTACCAAGAATAAGAATACCTTGGCAATGGAAAGAAGAAACATAAAAAAAGGCAAATGGGAAAACGTAGAAGGCAAGAATACATTAGAACATCTCCAAGGCTCTACATGGCTTTTTATCACAAATTACATAATTCCAAAACAAAATAAAAAATCAGGCTCCAATAGACTTTGTAAACCACTCTTTCCACTCTCCAGAACCACCTTTCTCGCTCTCCACTAATGAAGAGGCTAAATCACTCTATAAATTCAATATATGGTAGTTCTATCATCAATTTTTCACAAGAAAAATTATGACAAGCCATTGTAGTATAGATAACGAAACTTAGAAAGTCCATTGGAGACATATATATAAAGAGAATATTCATGGGATGGCTCTCCAAATAGAGATATAGAGATTGAAGTCTAGAGAGACTCTTGGAGTTGATCTTAGTTCTCACGTCAATCAATTAGAATTTTCTAGAGTACCTATAGCTATTTTGACACATGTTGCAAGAAATTACAACTTCCGGAGCCCATTCCAGAAGTTGCTTCCTGCAACATGCGTCAAAAATAGTAGTAGATTTTTAAACTTTGCTTTTTTTTAAAAAAAAGAAAGAAGTTTTCTGTTATAGAAAACAGTCTTCAAAAGTCAAAATAGTTGTAGTTTTTTTTGTTATAGATATAGAAAAAAATGGAAACTAAAATGCATGCAGTCTTCAAAAGTCAAAAAGTATGACCACCTCTACATTTAGTTTCTTAGATCACAAATAATTAAGATAGGTTGTATGTCGAAGGTCATGCTAATGTCCAAATAACATCCATCTGAAGCCAAAGCATAATGAGAAAAAAAGAAGACAACACAAAATAAATCACCAATGACATATTCAAAGTAATCGTATATTATTGTTTCTAGACATTGCCAGGTCAATTTCAACATAATGACATACATACCACAGCACAAGATTTCTCTGAACCAACATGTAATGCTGGATAATAAGTCTCTTCACCACTTTCTAAGGTCCCTTCCACAGCTTCCTGTTATTTCCAGAAGGAAAATAAATATCACAAAATAAGCTTCAATTCTATCACTTCTAAATATTTCTTTCTGAATGAATTATCTTCTTGTACTGATAGGTTAAAAGGACAATACTGAATCGCTGCAAAGAAACAATTGAGCGAGTAAGAAGGCTTCAAAATTGCAAGAACTGGAACAAGTCCTGTTATGTTCCTTTATTTCTACTCCCCCATATTCCCACAGTAGAAACAGCTAAACTCATCTATGGCACTGTCAAAGACTAAGGACAAACAAATAAAAATGAATGGAGGCACATACATTAGAAGCATATATAATTGTAGGGAACAGTACCTTCAAATGGTGCTGCCTTCTGGTCTGCCATTCAGACCATTGTTGCATCAGTTGCATAAGCTTTCTTTTGCTTTCCCTGAGATATTAAGATACCAATACTATTAAAAACATAACCAAATGGTTTAAAAATATTTTCTGGAGCATGAAAGTTGCTACCACAAAATGCCATATGATACCATTGATATTATAGTGAGAATGGAAAGCATCTTGTAATTAACCTTGTCAAGTCAGTGTAGATGACACGAATAGAAGGCTCCTTTGATTCCACACGGGCTCTTTTAACTCCTCTCGAGGCTAAAAATGACATATCAAGGAACAACAACAGCTATAAATCTCCCCCAAGTTGCAATAACATGTTTTAGGGTCCCAGGAGTACAAGTAGAGAGTCTGTGCTTCTTATGCAAGTACAGTTCCCAGGATTCAATGAAAACAAAAGAATCTTCAGAAAACATAGACACATGCAGCTGCAGAATTATATTAACAGAAATACATAATATTCCATTCAATAGGATACGACTTTCTTCAACAGAGATGCTGTTTGACTCATAAATTGGTGCATTTTCAGTCCTGTCGCCCTTGTTCAGCTTGACCTCAAAACCAATCACAGTCTGTACAGCTGCAAGAATGCTGGTCTGGGGCTGAATGGAAGCATCTGATAACTGATCCTTTCCAACCACTATGTCATCATCCGCGATGTCCATATCTTCTACTTGCCCCTCTTCAAGATCCAGGTTCCCAGCAGATGGCTTGGGATTACTGCCCACAACACCAGATTCCCCTTCTGGTTGGAGTTCAGATGCGAGAGGTTCCGCCCCATTCACATCAGGAGCTTTAACCTGAATGTCTCCCCCTTCATCTTTCGCATCAACCTCGCAAGGTGCCTCAAGGCTGATGAACTCGTCTGATGCCATTTCTTTGTGGGGCAAATACACTATGCATTCAACATTCCGGACCGAATCTGCAGCGAACAGTATATACTCGTAATTATATCAATCGAATGCACTTACGTTAGGGTTTGACTCCGAAACCAGGGAGAGTTTATTGGGTGCTCGGTTTCGCACAGCACGAAGGGAAGGGAAGGGAAAGGAAGGGAAGGCATACCTTGTGGGTGCTCGTCGCAGGGGCCGACGGAGACCTGGCGGAGGGCCGGCGGCGTTCGTCCAGTCGTCGCAACCAGGAAAGAAAAAACCCACGAGGGCTGTAGCTCACCGGGCTTGCCCCGCGCGTGCGGCCAGTGCTGTCCCCGTAGCTCGCTCGCGCCAGCGTCGAGGCTTGTCCGGTGGAGGATGGCGGCGTCCGGCGGGACAGGGCGGCCGGGATAGGGCGGACGAGGCGGAGGAGGTGGCGGGCGCTGGCCGAGGCAGCGGGACCCGGCCGGCGGCGGGCGTCGGCGGCCGCAGGGGGATGCTCGGGCGGCGGCGCTCCCAGGTCACGCGTCACGGCCTCGTCTGACTCACGCGAGTCGCGATAGGAGACAAATTCCAGCGAGTTCAATTAGGAGGAGGGGTAGCCTTGTCTTTTCCCATGTCCTGAACTGTGAAAACAGCCGGCTGGAATTAGTAAGGAGAGAAATCCTCAAAATTCCGTTTCCTACGGAACGGAGCACCGAAACGGATCTGGCCAGAAACGTTAACGTATTTTATACGGGCCACCCATCACCAGGAAGCGATCTGGTCGGGAATTAGACGAAACGAATGGGCCCTCATGTTCGGTTGTAAGGGATTAATTCTTCCCGTGGAACCAATCCACATAGCTATAGGTGGGGAGATCGCTGAGGTGCAGGGCACCTTTGTGGGGATTCGTTCCTCTGCTGGTAGCCTCCGCACGTTCTGTTGCATGTAGCCTCCGCAAGGATTCATTCCAGGACTCTAGAGGCCTGACTTGATTCCAGACGAGGTGAAGGGGTTTCTGTTGTATGTGGCCTACGCAGGATCCTCGAGTGGGCTAAGAGTGCACATGTTTTAGGAAGGAACGGGGATTGAATCCAGTTCTAGGTACGTCCACAACCGAACAAGCCCTTAGGCTATCTCCAACAACAACAACTAAAATACAAGATCTATTCGTCTTTTAGGTAACGCTACAGGCAAAAGGTTCAATACCTATTCGGCATCTTCTCCAATAACAAGACACAAAAAGAGAATCATTTCTACAAATGGGTTTCCAGGAGAGAGAATACGCATATTTTGGTTGTGCCTCTCAGGCAACCCAAAATATATCTCCCGTACAAATACTATGTTAAAGGCTGATTTGGGTCTCTTGCTACCCATTTTGGGTTTTGGTGTCCTTGTTGGAGACAGTCTTAGTGCCGTAGCTCTAGGAGCTTCGTCTCCTCTTCCTTTGACACTGTGCTGCACTATTTTCTGCTGTAGCTGCTCATCCAAGGGTTTCGGCTCCTGCTGAAATACTCTGCGAACGGTCGAAAGCCGGAGGAGCTTTGATTTGGAGGCTTCGCCAGCTCCACCACAGTGCGGCTACACTGGCAGGAACCGGAGCCACCGGAGCTCCACCAAAGAGGCCCTTATATCCAAAGAATTCACATGCACAGGGTTAAATTTTAAAAGGCTTGCGAATTCGATGTCAAATATTGAGGGACGTGTGAACTCAGGGTTAAATATCAAAATTTCTCCATTTCACTAGTGTTTGGCTCCCTTTATCACATTGATTCCTAAAGTAAACAATCCAACAGGTGTCAACGATTTAGGCCTATTTTTCTTCTGAATTGTGTATTCAGAATAATAGTTGCATTTCTATCTACTTTCCATGTCTCAATATTGATTTTTTTCATGTAGCTAAACGTCCATAAGTTTTGTACACTTTGCTTGCCCTTGCAGTTGCACGTGTTGATGTGCTAGAGTTTAGCAAGCTAAAACACTTATGAACAACTTTGTATTATTAGATCTGAGGATTTTACAGGTCGGACTGAGCTCGGACTAGGTTGAAAAAAAAAACATGACTATTTCATGGCAAAATAATCCCACCGATGAGGTGATGACCCACTGCTCGAGAAGGGCCTGATTTTTCAAGCCTGGTTAAAATAACATATAGTGTACAGTAGCTAAAATAACGTCCCGCTTGAATTTATTAGCTTGGCTCATCATTTATGGAACAATGTTTGTCTTTCGTAAAAAATCAGCTTCAGCTGCCGCAGAAATCATCAACCAAACAGTTCGTAAGTATCTTGGCTAGGCTCGGGCTAAGAAAAATCATTTTAGGAACAGTCTGTCTACTACACAACCATGTGTTTTATATAGTTTCAACACATAAATTTTTTTGCACCATAGGATTAAGATCCAACATCTTTTATCCTTCTTCTACTTTCAGCCTCCAGCCTTCTTCTACCTCTAGACAATCACAAATCACAACATCACATATCCACATATCACATATCACAAGAAACAATTTTTTTTCTATGGAAAGACAAATCACAGATCGCAGAGGAGGAGGAGGAGAGGTCTACCTGGATCCGCTGCCGCCGCCACCGCCACTGCCATGGCTGGCGCGGGCGCGGGCGCCGCCGCCGCCATCAAGAATCGCCATGGCCGGGCCAGACCCTAGACGTCATATATGGCCACACCTGCAGCTCGCTTTCATGAGAGGCGTTCCATCCGGCGAGCACGGGCGGGTCGCCCCAACGCTTGATCTCGAGCAAGAGCTGCGCCTCGTCCGCCACGGCACGGGAGGATCATGAGGTCACATGAGGCAAAGCGCAAAGAAGAGGGGAAGCAGCGAAAGCAGAGAGTTAGGGAGGCACGACGTGGTGCCTCCATGCACGCCGGTTATGACATGTGGACCCTAGACGTCATAGATACAAAAAAAAATTATTTGTTTTTTTGTGCTAAAACACATATGTGTTATATAACATTTCTATTTAGGAAATGGGATCTATATCCAAGCCCTATCCACTAAAGCTCGTGGCGGGCCAAAACTCATCGGCCTCGGGCCAGCCGGTTAGGCTCAATTTATTCAGTTCACGCATTAGTCTAGACTCTTTTACAATTGCAAGGATTGTTTGGATCAAGGATTTTGGAGGAAACTTGTTCAATAGGAAATGAAAGCAGCCATGTTTGGAACAAAGGACCGTTTCCTACGGTTCCAAAGGAAAGGCAACTATATACACGCAAAAACAATGAAATGAAAAAAATCAACTCAGGCCCAAGGGAAGGCATCTTGCTCGCTCTCTTTGCTCTCCTCTCTTCTGGTCATGTCTTCCTCCATCCCGCCATGGCCAAGCCCGAGAAGAAATTAGTGGAGAGATAAATCTGCGACAAGAAAGCTCATCTAGGGGACAAAAAATCAACTCAACTCCTTCACTACTGGAACAATGTTTTGGTGTTCCCCAATTTGAAGGGGATGATTCAAGAAAAAGGTAATCGATTTGATAGCAAACCAATTTTCCCTTTGGATGGAATTTTGTTCATTATCCAATTCATAGTTGGAAGTTTTAATTTCGATATGAAATATAGTTCTTTATTGTCCTTGTTACAGTCAGCAACCTTGTTTTCTTTTTCTATATGGATCATGTTGTCTCAGAGGAATAACCATGGGGAGGTGAGTGCCATCAGTAGCACCAAAATACATTTCTGCATATCTATATCTATCTATATCTTTTATAAAGTCGATTCTCACTACAAGTTTTATCTCAACATGCGAGATATCTACATCAACTTTGACTAATATTCATGTCATATCACTAACTTCCAACCTCTCAATACAAACTATCCATGTCATCTCCACTTAATTTCATTCCACTTTCTTCACAATCCTCGCAACAACGCGTGGGGTATCTTCTAGTATCCATTTATGATTAATATCAACACCATGATAAAATTAATATTGCCATTGATACAAATAAAAAATACATGGATGGAAGTATGGAACAAATTTAAGTTGTCTTAAGACGCTATGTTGAGTAGAGAAGGTAGTTGTATATAGTAGCATGTGAGTTGTGTAAGAGCATTGAGCATTGCTCTGAAACGATGGCTAATTGTTCCTTCACTATGCAAAAATTGATCTTTGCAATGTTCGGTTGCTTGCATTCTTTGATATTGCATAAAGGAATATGCCTAGCTGCTCTTCCAAAGATAGATATTATCTTTGAATCGGCAGCAGTGGTGAAGTCAGGGATGGGCTAGAGGGGGCTCAGGAGGCCCCCTAACTTTGATGTTTTTTCATTGCACCTATCTAATCTACCTCGTAACTGAAGAGTAAATGGACCCCCTATTGACATTTGTCCTCCTAAACCTAAGTTCTGGCTTCGCCACTAATCAATAAGAAGGGTGTTTTCATGCCGTCTCTGAAAAAGAGCTTAAGAAATCTCTCTTTCCATATGGAATTTACATTTGCATAGGGCCTCATGTCTTGCTAGAGTTTCATGAATAAATGTGGCTCCATTTCGGATAGAATTGTGTATTGCTTTCTTTTCGGGTGATTGAGATGAGTTGCCTTCTTTCAATGTTGGGTGGACAAGGAAAATGAAGTTATCTTCATTTTTGCAATCATCGGCGATAGTTTGGGTCCAACATAGAAAGAAAAGCACCAGCTATCAGAAAAATATGGTTGCTTAGCACATGGATGGATGGTGTGTATTTGTATTGTGCATGTAAGGTCCGAAGAATGAGCATGTATTTGTATTGTGTAGAACTACTTGCCTTGCTACTCCCACATGTTTATATATAGCATACGCAGCAACGGCTAGAAAGAGGCAAGCAAGCAACGGCTAGTGGAGTGTACAAGGTGATCTCGCAATCAATCAAGCAATGGCTAGAAAAAGAGGCAGGCACTACTTTGTCCATGGAAAAAAAATGCCAAGATTCAAAGGCTTCCTGCAATCCAACTAGCCCAAGATTTCAATTCATGTGTTTGTGGTTTTCAGTTTTTGCTTTTTCCTAGCTCTCGTTCTTCTGTTTTACAA